TGTAGCACCTTAACAGCATCATCTTTTAAGATTTTAAATAGTTCTACTGGGATGCCATCACCTCCACTGGCCTTGTTGTTAGCCAGGCTTTCTAAGGCTCACTTGACTTCACTCTCCATGATGTCTGGCTCTAGGTCAGCAACCACACTATCTGGGTTGTCCAGGATATCCAAATCTTTCTAGAATAGTTCCTTTGTGTATTCTTGCCACCTCTTTTTGATGTCTTCTGTTTCTGTGACGTCCCTACCATTTTGGTCCGTTATCATGTCCATCTTTGCACAAAATGTTCCTTTCATATCTCCTATTTTCCTGAACAGATCTCTGGTTTTTCCTCTTCTATTATTTTCCTCTATTTCTTTGCATTGTTCATTTATCAAGGCCCTCTTGTCTCTCCTTGCTATTCTTTGGAAGTCTGCATTCAGTTCTCTGTAACTTTCCCTATCTAAACTCCCTAAATCAACTGGAATGTACATCGATCAAAACTGACCCCAATCCCATGGATTCAACAGCTTTCCTCTCCTTGACTTGAGCCTCTGAATTTAACCCGATGGCCTTGAATTATAGCTGTTGGCTTCCTATTTGTTATCTGATTTTTCTTATTTTAAATCTTGGTGAGATGCTTTGAATCCCATGTTTGGGACAAAGGTGGAAGGATGCACCAATTGAGCTGTAGATTAATTAATCAACCCGATTACCCAAAGCAGGTGAGGACCTGAAGAAGCTGTCAACTTTTCAGGCGAGGGGTGGTAGGTGAGTTAAGCCGTGAGAAACAAGTGGCCTCAGGACACATGGCTAGATCTCAGAGACGTCTAGGGTGGGACCCAGAAAGGAGATGGTCTATGCTTTGATGGGGTGTTTCTCGGTTCAGCAAGATCTTTCCCTGAGAATAACAGCATTTGGAATTGAGATTTGATGCAAATACAATTAATTTCATAAAAAGAGGGAGGGATTCAGCTGTCTTTGCCCTACTCTCCCCGATCAGACGCTTCCCTTGGAGGGCTGGAGAAACAAGCCTTAAGTAATTAAATACTCATGTTATTAATGGTAGGGGTCTAATCCAGAATCTGGTTGCTTTCTCCAGGTTAAGTAGAAAATTCATGCCTTAGAAAAGGGACCCCGAAGATCATCTAGACCAGACCTGTGCAAAGTGCAGCCCGAGGACCACATACAGCCCGCGAGCTACTCCTGTCCGGCCCGCGGACAGTTTTGAACATAAAAACCATTTATAGCTTTTTGTCTAAAGTTGATCGGTTGCTTGTCTTTAACCTACTGCAAAAAACTCTTTATTATTTGTGAAGATTAATAAGTTTAATAAAAAAACAATCTTAACATCACTGTTTCATTTTATTTTTAAGGAAAGTTGGTTTGGCCCCCGAACACAGTTCAGATTTTTCATGTGCCCCCCCATAGAAATTAATTGCCCACCCCTGATCTAGACCAACCAGCCTACTAGAGATGGACACTAATGGACAAAGTGGTGATTTGTTGTGACTTGTAATTCATAAAACCTCATGGATAACGAATCACAAATTTATGATTTTTTTTCGACGGACAAACTAATGGTTGGTTGGTTGGCTGGCTGGCTTTTCAAAATGCTAGAGACATGTATATCATTGGGAAGCTTCCCCTGACTCTCCTCCCTGTATGTTTGGTGAAATTTGGGTAGGTAGCAGAGATAAAAGTTCCTTCTTCCCCTGGGTCACAGAGGTAGCAGATGGGACAT